TTTTTTTTTTTTCATATAAAGTTGAGTATTGTCCTTTCCAGGTCTGTGAAGAATTGTGTTGGGATTTTGAATATGTATATTGCTTTTAGAAAGATTGCCATTTTTACTATGTTGATCCTACCTATCCAAGAGCCTGGGAGATCTTTCCTTTTTCTGGTATCTTCTTTAATTTCTTTCTTTAAAGACTCAAAGTTCTTGCTGCACAGGTCTTTCACTTGTTTGGTTAGCATTACCCCAAGATATTTTATGTTGTTTGTGCCTATTGTTTTGGGGGATGTTTCTCTGATTTCTTTCTCAGCCCATTTATCATCTGTATATAGTAGGGCTACTTTTTTTTTTTTTTTGTAATTTTTTTTTCCTCCCTTTTTTCTTGTGTTTTTTTTTTTTTGGTAATCTGTTATCCAGCCACTTTGCTGAAGGTGTTTATCAGCTGTAGGAGTTCCCTGATAGAATTTCTCAGGTCACTTATGTAAACTATCAAATCAATAATGAAAGTTTGACTTCTTTTCCAATTTGAATACTGTTGATCTTCTTTTGTTGTCTTATTGCTCTAGCTAGAACTTCAAGTACAATATTGGAGAGATAAGGAGAACCTTCTTATTGTTCACTACCTTCTCTTGTTCCTGATTTTAGAGGAGTCTCATTGAATTTCTCTCCATTTAGTTTGATTTTGGCTGTCAGTTTTCTGTATATTGCCTTTATTATGTTTAGGTATGCTCCTTTTATCCCTCCCTGATCTCTCCAAGACATTTATCATGAAAGGGTTGAATTTTGTTGAAGGCTTTTTCAGCATCTTTGTGAGATGATCATGTTTTTTTTTTTCTTTTCAGTTTGTTTATATGGTGGATTACATTGATAGATTTCCGTATATTGAGCCATCCCTGCATTCCTGGGATTGATCATGGTGGATGGTTTTTCTGATGTATTCTTGGACTTGATTTGTCAGTATTTTATTGGGTATTTTTGCATCAGTGTTCATTAGGGATATTGGTCTGTAGTTCTCTTTCTTAGTTGTGTTTTTGTTTGGTTTGGGTACCATGGTAATTGTAGCCTCATGAAAAGAGTTTGGCAATGACCCTTCTGCTTCTATTGTGTGGAACACTTTGAGGAGTATTGGCATTAGATATTCTTTGAATTTTGTTAGAATTCTGCCCTGAAACCATCTGGCCCTGGGGTTATAGCACTATTTAAATTGCTAATCTGT